CCCCGCCATGAGCTATTTGGGTCATGGCTGGCACAGCCTGAGCAGCTTTTCCAGCCTACTCCACGCCGCCCCCTGTCCCCACCAAACGGGACCGCCGTCCCCGCGCCCACAGCCCCGCGGTTACACAATCACAACCGCCGACGCCGCTGCACGGACTCCTGGCCGCGGCAGAGAGCGCCTGCTAAGGCCGCGGAGACGTCCCCAGCCGCGCTAGGTCCCCGCGGGGCACCTCCAGACGGGCGCAGAGAGGCTCAGGCCACCCAGTGTCGCAGTCAGGGTCACTGTGCAGGACGCGGGGCACAGTCCAGGCCCCTGGGCACAGCGACACAGCCGCAGACCACCCGGGGTCTGGAACATGACCTGCAGGGGTGCACACACACAGCCGCGTCTGCACACTGACATTCACGCACAGATTCACGCCCACTCCTGTGTACATGCTCTCACACGTGTACACACATGCAGATTCACACTGACTCACACACAGCCCTCCCATACACACGCCCACATGCACTTACTGACACACCCAGCACTCAGACTCACACACATATTACTAACACGCATGCACACTCACAAGCACGCATACCCACAACTCACATACTCACTATCTGCTCGCACGCTCACACACAGACAAGGAACTGTGCCAGACACGATGTTCACAGGTGTGGTTTCTCACGTGCAGACTCAGGCACACCTACACACAGACCCCTCACACTCACACTCACACACACACACACACAAGTGGATCTTTATTGCATATAGACTCCAATGAACCATCCGGTCTCACAACCGGAAGTGAAAACACTGCACACACCTGTGACACGCACACCTGCGAGGACGAAGACCGGAAGTGCGGTTTAGGGAATGCCTTGGGGAGTGTAGGGGGATGTCTCGGCAGCCCTCCCAGTGCTGCCCCCTGCAGAGAGGCCAGGCTCTGCCTTCAGCCCTCCCAGCACCCATCATGTGCACCCGGCTCTCCGCCTGCCTCTGCCCAGCCTGGGCTGTGTGCATCTCCCTTCCCGTCCCCCTCTGCGTCCTCCGTCACTCTATCTGAGCACCGTTTTCTTTGCCTTTTTTTTAATAAGGTGTCTGCCATAAGGTGCACGCACTCATCAGAGAGACAGTGAGAGGGAAAGTGAGGAGTCACCTCCAGCGGGGATGGCAGCCCTTCTCCACTCTCCTCCTGGGGTTTTAGGCACACGCACACACGTGCCCGGTGTGATTCTCAAGCCTCCGGGTCTGGAACTCAAACCATGGTTGGCCATGTGGGGTCCAGCACCATAACCACCACGCCCCTGCCGACCCCTCTGTT